AGACCCTGGCCCCGGGCCCCAGCCCGACCTCTGGGCCGGGGGGCGGGGCGTGCACAGTGCGGCTTCAGTAGCCCCACAGACTTGACCGTGAACTCGAACCCTCGGGCCGCCTTGGTGAAGGCTGGTGGAAGTTGTCCCTCGTACCACCCTGTTCACACGGCTCCGGCCCAGCGGGACGGACCTGAGGGTTTATGCGCGATCGTCCTCCGACCACCAGATCCAGCCTGCAGTACCCAGGGTCTTCCCTAACGTGAAAACAAAGCGAACAAACAAACAAACCCAGCAATAATCTGATGGGAGGTTTGGAGGGGGCATTTCTCCAGGCCTGTTCCGAGCTGCGGGGTAAAAATAGAAAGCGTTTATTTCGGACTGCTGGGGGTAGCAGTGGGCTGAGCTCCCTTTCTGCAGAACCAGAACGCTATGATCAGGCTATAATCAATCCATTCGCCGCTATGTATTAAATGCCCACTTTGGATCCCGAGGGCAGCGTTCCGTGTCCATTGAAGCAAAAAAAACAAAAACAAAAAAAACAAACAAAAAACACGCATCCAAGGTTCAACTTAGTCTTGGTGGAGTGTTATTTCTAGCTTCAGGTCTAGCTCTTGGATGCGGGCCTAGCGGGGCCCTTAGGGTTTTTTTCTGTGGGGTGATGTGTGTGTGTGGGGGGGTGGAGGACCGAGTCCCTAGTGCGTCCTGGGTGGGTCCCTGCGTGTCCGCTATGTCGCTGGTGCACCCATCATAGACCTCCCAGAACTCATGTCCCCACCCCACCCCACCCCCGTCCTGCAGACCCGGGCGGGCCACAGGTCTCCTGGAAAGCCCAGGTCTTCCTAGGTCCTCTCTCCTCTTCCTCCCCTGCCCCGCCAATGATGCGGGAGAACATGGAGGGGCACAGGAAAACCCAAACCTCTGGGCCAGCCTGTGGTCTGCCCTTGATCTCCAAGAGTTTTGTGCGGAAAATACACCACTTGAGACGGAAAACATCCGTCTGAAAAAAAAGAGAGAGAGAGAGAGAGAGACAGGGGGAGAGGGAGAGAGAGAGAGAGAGAGGAGAGAAAGAGAGAGAGACTGACAAAGGGGCCCGGGGGTAGGGAGCGGGAGGAAGGGAGAAGGTACCCGCAGGAGGAAAAGGCTGGGACGGCGGCGTGGGCCGGGCTGGGCCGGGCCCGGGCCCCGTTTCCTTCCCTCGCGCCCCCGGCAGCCGCGCGGACCGGCCTCCACACGAGGCCTGACCTCCTCCCCGCCCGGCACTTCAGGGGGACATCAGGGAGCCGGGAGGGGCTGATGGCGATGCCACCGATCATCGCAGTCATTAATAATGCATCGAGGGCCACGATAATTAGTAATAATAATGATGGCCTCCCGAGGGGGCCCCAGCTGCCTCCGGAGAAAGCGACTCCTGCGTGCGGAGGGCCGTCCGCGGAGCGGGGTGCGAGGGGAGCGAGCCCGGGCGGCCCTGAAGTTCAAGGTGAAGCGCAGACCGCGTCCTCCGGCCGCGGCGGCCTGTCTCCCCGCGAGCAGCGGACCGTGGCAGCGCTCTGGCTGCTGGAGGGAGGGAGGGAGGGAGGGAGGCGAAGGCGGCCTGGCGTTTGTTGGTTCTGAAGTCAAGGCCGGGGCAGGCTCGGATTCAGGTCCTTCTAGGTGGGGGGTGTGGGCGGGGGTCGGGGAGCGGGTTGGACGCCGGCACCTTCCGCCCCAGGGCCCGGGCGCCTCGTGGCGGGGCAGGTCCGCGGGCAGCCAGTAATTCTGACAACTTTGATCTCAGGACACATTGGCCATCTCCCCACCACCCCCGACCCAGCCCTGCCTCCAGGGTTCTAGACCCCCCCCCCCCCCGAAAGACGGAGGTTGGGCAGCGACGTCGGGTCGGGTCCGGGACTCGTTTGGACAAAGGGAGCTGCGGGAGGCAGGGGCCAGAGCCCTAGGAGCCGTGTCGCGGGAAAGCTGCTCCCATCGGTTCCTCGCTGTCCAGGCGTGGACTAGGAGCTGTCACCTTCCTTCTCCCGCCATACCCCTTCCCATCTTTCCATCCTACTGATGACTAGGAGAGCGCCGGCAGCTCTCCGACGTTCAGATCTGGAAAGCTGGAAAGCGATCCAGCCAAGGCTGGGCGATCGTCTTGCTCTTCTTGCTGGGCTCCTTCTCCCCCAAAATGGGAAGCAAACCCCCAAGGCCTTGAGTTGATATTAAAGCCCCACCTTCCCCATTTCAGCCTTCTCAGATTTGAGAGATGTCTCGGAGCCAGTGACTTACACACACACACAAAAATGAGAATAGACCATCTCATTCTTGCACAAGTTCTAATTTTTTTTTTTTTTTTATGATTCCTCTGCTCCCTCCCCAAGATGGGTTTGGAAAACCCTAAAGGATTTTCCCTCACAGCTTATAACATGTTTCAGTGAAATCTCCCAAGGATCAGTAACATATGCCAATTATTTTAATCATTTTCCTTAATATTATTAGGGGTTATAAATTTGATTTTAATAGGGTTGATTGCTTCAGGAGTTGGCGCTTGGGCAGTTCTCAAGGCTGCTGAGGAGGGCTAGTCCAGCATCTGTCACCCTCTGGGACACACACACACACACACACACACACACACACACACACACAGAGCCCCGGGCTGGAGTCTTTCCCTCCCCTTTGAATAGGTGTCATGGCCTCCAAAGAGGTAGGGTTGCTTTCTCCCCTCAAGGGGCCCTTAGGCCTCGCCTGTGTTGGCCCTGCGGCTCAGCTGAGGGCGGAAGGGGCGAGATGCAGTGGTCTCTGCAGCAGCCACCCTGGTTCTTGTCCTCCGCCAGCAGAGTCCTGCGCAGGCTGGGGATCCTTTGGAAGTGTCTCTGCCACTGCCCAAATCTTTCACCGCTGGGTGTGGGGGTGAGACTGGGGCCCTGGCAGGGCCTCTCAGAGCTACAAGGACACTTAGAAAAATGAAGATGCCTTCATGAGATTTTAAGAGAATTTTCCCCACCGCACCCCCCCTTCAATCACTAAAATTGCCTTCCTCCTTGGAGCGACTTGTTTGGAAATTTTGATAAACTCTTGCAGAGGAGGGGAAATGGGGCTGCAAAACAGAGAATGCTGGTGGGTCAGGGTTCTGCCTTCCTTCCACCTGGCTGTTTTAGTCTTTTTAATTTTCTTTCACTGAATTTTTTAAGAGATTCCCTTTCATTCTGAGCCAACGGTTTTGTTGCTTTCCAAAATTTAAAAGTAGTCAATTTATCACCTTCTTCACTCGAACATTCTGTTCATTGGTGTTCAGTGGTGGTGCAGATAAGCAGGATTTCTTGAGCAAGCTGTTAAAATTTTCAAGGGGGGAAAAAAAAAACAAAAAAACTTTTGGTAGACATGGTCCCTTAGACTGAAATCATTGGGCCAAGTTCAAAAACAAAGTACTCAGCTCTGTTTTAAACGTGCAATTAAAAATAACCGTACCTCGGCTTTTCAGAGGGAGAGGGAAGGAAGGGGGCAGGGATGAGGGAAAACAAAGAATAAGGAAATATTTAGTGCTCTTAAATCCAGTCCAAGTAGCTGAAAGAAAGGCATTCCCTCAGATAATGGAGCCATTAGAAACTCTGAAGGTCCCTGCCGCCCTTCCTCATAGGGGCTTTCCAAAAATTTAATTCACCCTCAGCGAGGAAACAAAGGACACAGAAAAGAATTTTGAGACTTTCTGCCAAAGGGGAGTTTGGCCTGGGTTTCTATGCATACATACACCTTCCTCTCCAGCACGTGAGGCGGTGCTGCCATTCACTCAGGCAGCTGATCCATACCCTTGTGGACCCTCAGCTGTCCGTTCCCATTCTCCTCAATAACTTCGCTAGAAAAAAATAGTATGTTCATGCAGTTTCAACACGTTTTATTATATTTCTGTATGCATTACTTTCAAAACATATCACAAGAAATGATCAAACCACTTAAAACCTTCAAATAAAAAATCTGAAACAGTTTATGCCCACAATTGTACATATTTATAGTTAAGAAACATTCTTTATAAATATTGTTTCCTCTGTAGCAAGTTAATACCATAATTTAATTACAAATGGATAAATATGGTAACGGGTATTTACAGAAGGAAGGGTGTTATTAAGGGGAAAAAAAGCTAACGGCACGACGTTTATTTACCCCCCCCACCCCACAATCTTTCATACAGGAACTAACAAATTGAACTCGCAAAAGCACTAAAACATCACATGTAAACCCAGCTAACAGAAAAATACATTCACAAGCGTTGGTGGTGGTGGTGGTGTGCATGTGTGTGCTGTGTGGATCAGTATGTTGAAGAAACAGAAGGGAGACTTTGGCACGGCTCATTTTTTTTTTCCAGTCTATAGTTGCATGAAGTTTACAATCAAGTTGCCTCATAAAAGGAACACAATATTCAATACCACGATACAAAAGAAACCATTTTCCTCCACATTACTTAAAAAGAAACCGAGTAAACTAAAAAAGAGAAAAGAAAAGGCCCATCACGTTGGGGAAGGGGAGCAAAGGCAGGGAGGAACGCAATCCAGAGCATTACAAATGGACAAACTTCTATACACCAAGAAGCCATTAAAACCGCCTCGGAGAAGGAAGGAGTCCGCTATGTACAGTTTGCCAGAAGACTGGGAGTGCAGGGAGAGGGAAATCGGGCACAAGGGGAAGGAGAGGGTGGTCTGGTTCAATATTTTTTATGGGTTTTTATTTATTTTTTTAAATTTTTTATTCCTTTATTTTATATATTTCAGCTTCAGAGACTCCGCTAGGGAGATTTTTTTGCTTTTCATGCCTAGGTTATTATTTTTTTTTTAAAAAAAACAAAACACAAAACAACAACTTTGAAAAATCCTTTCTGCTGGTAAAATCGGTGTTTTTTTTGTTTGTTTTGTTTTTGTCATCATAAAAATCAGATTGGTAATTTTAACATCACAATCACAGGGTGCCCTTGGTGGTGGTGGAGGGCGGCTGCGCCAGGGGCGGGAGGACTGGGAGAGGGCGAGAGGCCCCGGCCCCCCCTCCCCTCACACGTACCATTCATTGAAGTTGGAGGACAGGCCGCTGTGGCCCCCGGCGGTCCCGCTGCCCCCGCCGGAGCCGCCGCCGCCCCCACTGCCCGCGCCGCCGCCCCCGCTGCTGCCTCCGCCGCCAGAGCCGCCGCCGCCGCCCGAGCCTCCGCTCCGATGCACCGCGGACACCGCCGCCGCCGCCGCCGCTGCCGCCGCAGCAGCCGCAGCCGCCGCGGGGGACAGGTTGGAGCTGCTCTGGGGCTCGGCGCTGGGGGACACCAGCCCCGGGGGCGTGGACGACTCGTAGCCCGAGCTGGCGGCCGGGGAGGACTCGGAGCCCTGCGGGGAGGACTCATGGACCTGCAAGACAAAAGCCGGGAGGGGAGACCAAAGGGGACTGGATGTGAGTGCAGCTGCTGTGGGGCCAGGCCCCCGGGGGAGCGGCCCGGCAAGACCAAGAACCCCTGTCGCCCTGGCCCTGGGGACCCCACGCCTTCTCCCCGGGCCCGCGGAGGAGGAGGTGGTGCAGGCTGGCTGGGAGCCGGCGGGGCGGCCGGCCGCGGTGCCCTCCTGCCCGCCGCCCCGGTGGTACCTTCATGTGCTTCCGCAGGGAGCTGGGGTGCGTGTAGGACTTGTCGCACATCTTGCACAGATAGGGCTTATCGGAGGTGTGGACGTGCATGTGCTTCTTCCTGTCGCTGCTGTTGGCGAAGCGCCGGTCGCAGCCCTCAAACTCACACTGGAACGGCTTCTCGCCTGTGGGAGGCAAACATGGGCACTCGCGGAGGGCACCCAGGCCCTTTGGGGGGGACTCCCAACCACCCTGGAGGGGAGGGCAAGGCCTCTGCCAGGAGAGGGAAGAAGGGTCCCTCTGAAACAGATGGGTGCCTTCCCCCCCCCCCCTCTTCCGTGGCAGAACGAAGGTGAAATGAACCCTTTCTGCCTAACGGTCCTGCTCCTGTATTTCGTATTTTTTTACTTTCTCTCCGGCTGACGCCCGTGGCCTTAAATGTTTCACTCGGGGTTAGCGCCGCCTTTTCAAATCGAGCTTCTTGGATTTGTAGCTCCCAGCAAGTTAGTCTGGCCACGGGGAAGCTGTTGTTATGACAAAATATTTGGGGCATTATGAAAATCACACAGACTGCAGGGCTGCTGTTGGCTTCTCTCTGGGGCCAGTAGGCAATTAGATTTGGAGTTGCTGCATGTTGTTTGGGGACGGGCTGTGCACAGTGACTACTGAGCCAGTATTCTTCATCCAAAATTGTGCAAATTAAATTAACCGTCATTCTTAGTCTCGGTCCCAGGTTTTTTTGTTTTGTTTTGTTTTGTTTGGGGGGAGGGGGGAGGAATAGAACTATGAGAGATAAGGCGGCAACATCTCGAGATTGCAGGGGGTGGGGGACATTAGCAAAGGCTTTCAAAAAATCTTCCTGTTAATTTTCTGGCGGCCCCTGCATCCTGTTGCCAGAATTCCAAACGCTTGGAGTCATTTAGAGGTGTGAGAACTGACATTGTTCCGCTTGGAAAAGGGGACCCTTGAACGTTAAATTCCATTAGCACCTAAATTGTTTTTTAAAGACATCCGCTCAGGCGCGGGGACTCGAAAGCAAGCGTTTCATGCAAATAAATTTCTCAAATTTTAAACCTTGTTAAGCGCTCGTCTCGCACCTCGCCTGCCTCCCTTCCCGGAAGAGAACAATAGGCCGCTGGCGCATCCCCGCTCCGGGGTAAATATTGACGGGGGAAGTTGCTAAAACATTTGGCTTTCTTTTAGGAAATCGTCTGGCACGGTTTTGGCCGGTCATGGATGCATTATCTGGGAGGCGAGAGGCGCGTTCTCTTTGCGGCTCGTGTCACGGGATGGCTCCTCCGGCCGCGCCGCCGCGGGCGCTTCGCTCGCTCGCTCACGGGGTTGTAGGTCCAAGTGTGGAATCTCAAACCCTCGGGTGCCCAAAAGCTACTGCGATCTCGCCGTCAGGCCTCCAGACCAACCCTGAGGCGAGCTTTTAACAATTAAGAGATGCTTCTACCGCTTTGGGCTCACACCAGACTTTAATGGGAAACAGTCCTGGAAAGGCGTTTTGGACCGCGAGTAACATAAGTGCGAAACACACCAGCCACTCACGCAGACCCACCCGGAGCAGAAAAGCACATCCAGGCAGGCTGGCCAGCCCGCTCTGGCAGGCTCCATTCCCAGGCGCGGAGTTGGAGAGCAGTTTTATTTTGTGCGCTCTATTTAGAACGGAAATGATTAACCGGGCCGAGCAATTAGGAACCGGGGGAAAGCCATGGCATCACCCAAAAGCTTGCATTTGATGTGACGCTGGTTATTTAAAACTCCCGTTTCCACACATGGAAAAAAACCCAGCCCAGGAATATTCCTTTCATTTTTCCAACCAAAACAAGCCGCCGGCTCTCTCGCACACACACACACACATACACACACACACACACCTCCCGTCCCAGAGTAAAAAGGCTGGCGGTCGGTGAGTTTCTCTTTTAGCAAATCAATCACAGCCGCTCTGCTCTCCCCCCACTCCGCGTCCCGTCCCTGCTCCGGACCGCAGCAGTTAGTTACCTGTGTGGGTCCTTTTGTGGATCTTGAGGTTCTCGGAGCGCGCGAAGACCTTGCCGCAGCCCGGGAAGGGGCAGGGGAAGGGCTTCTCGCCCGTGTGCACGCGGATGTGGTTGACCAGTTTGTATTTCGCCTTGAAGGGCTTGCCCTCGCGCGGACACTCCTCCCAGAAGCAGACGTGGTTGCTCTGCTCGGGGCCGCCGACGTGCTCCACCGAGACGTGGGTGACCAGCTCGTGCATGGTGCTGAAAGTTTTGTTGCAGCTCTTCTTGGGGTTGCTCAGCTGTTCGGGGTCGATCCACTTGCAGATGAGCTCCTGCTTGATGCACTGCTGCCGCATGTAGCGGAAAAAGGCACCGGGGTGGTGGTGGTGGTGGTGGTGATGGGCCGCGGCCGCTGCCATGTTCATACCCATGTTCATATTCATGGGGCCGTACTGGTTGTGGAGCTGCGCCGCCGAGTAGGGGTCAGTCCGCGGGCTGGCCACCTGGCGGTACTGCTCTGATCGCCCGAACACCTCGCCCGGCAGCCCGAGGCGCATCTGCCCGTTGAGCACATTCTGGGAGCCGTGCGGGCCGTGCTGCTCGGGGAGGCCGGGGAAGAGGAGGTGGCCCTGCGCGTCCGAGTGCGCGTGGTGCAGGCCCCCGGCCCCGGGCCCGAACAGCCCGTGCTGCCCGCCGCCCGGCGCCGAGTCCCCGAAGCCGCGGCTGCGGAACAGGAAGTCCCGGGTGGAGTTGAAGGGCGGCCCGGAGTAGGAGCCGACGTGCGCCGCATGGGGCCCGAGCGCGGCTGCTGCTGCGGCGGCGGCCGCCGAGCCCGGGTAGGCTCCGGGGCCCTGGGACGTGAACGCCGAGCTCTGGCCCGGGGACAGCTCGTGGGCGCCCGGGTTGAGCTTGAAGGCGCCCATGTGCGCGGCCGCCGAGTCCACGAAGCCGTTCTGCGCCGCCGCCAGGCTCAGCTCGCGGTCCTGCATCTCGGCGGCGGCAGCGGCCGCGGCGGCGGCCGAGTGGTGGTGGTGGCGCGCGAAGCTGCCCACGCCGATGGCCGGGAACTGCGGCCCCGCGTCCAGGAGCATGGCCAGCGCGCCCGCCCGCCTCGCCGGCCCCGGCGACACCCTCCTCGCCTGCTAGGCTCCCTCTCCCGCTCCGCTGGCCCGGCGAGCCCGGCGGCCGCCCGGCTTCCGAGCGGAGGCAGCTGCGGCTGCGGCTGGGGCGCTGGCGACTTCAGCCCCGGGAGCAGCCGCGCTCCGGCTTCGGCCGCCGCCGCCGGGATCTGCTGCTCCGGGCGGCCCGGAGCCGAGCGAAGGCGCGAAGAGGAGGAGGAGGAGGACGCAGCCACCGAGGAGGCGCGGGAGAGGGAGGAGGAGGAGGAGGTGGAGGAGGAGAAGAGTCCAAAGCCAAGCGGAGAACCAAAGTATATTAAAGGAGCTGCGACGGGGGCGGGCGGGCAGGGCAGGGGAGGGCGGGCAGGAGGAGGGAGCAGGAGGGAGGTGCGGGGAGCTGAACGGAGAGGGGGGCCGGAGGGGGGTGAGCGCTGCGCCGCGGCCCCCACCTCTGCGCGCACCCGCGCGCGCACGCTCCTCTCTCTCTCTCTCTCTCTCTCTCTCTCTCTCTCTCTCTCTCTCTCTCTCTCTCTCTCTCTCTCTCTCTCTCGTTCGCCGCGCGGAAACCCGGGGCAGCCACGCCAAGAGGCACCGGCAAAATGAAATCACGGTGGCGGCGGGGCCACGGTGCCCGAGAGCGGACGCGGCGCGCGGGCGAGGCAGAGCGGCCGCGAAGGGACGCGGGCGAGTAGTGCGCTGGCGGCCGGGGCCCGGCGCCCGCAGCTCCACCTGATCGCCTCCCGGGAGCTGCCGGGCCGGCGGGCGGGGGCCGGCACCTTCTCCGCGGCGCGCCCGGCCGCCTCCCCCCGCGCGCGGCCGGTATTGTTCGGCGCCGGGGCCTCGGCGCTCAGCCCTCCTCGTCCTCCGCGCTCGGCATGGGCTGCGCCGCGCGTAGCCAACTTGCAGCAGCCGCCACGGATCCCCCCGGATGGATGAAGGAGGCGGCCGCGCGGCTCCCTCTTTCTTTAAGTTGTGCGGGAGGAGGGGTGGAGGAGGAGAGGGAGATGGGGGCTGTGGGAGGGGAGGAGGCAGGCAGAGGGAGAGGAGGAGGAGGAGGAGGGGGAGGAAGGGCTGTAAAACGATAACAATAAAAAAAAAAAAAAAAGTGATCTCTAGCTGGTTCGCTCCCTCTCTCCAGTGGGCCTGGGGCACTGGACCCAACGGGAGGACCGAGCGGGATCCGCGGCCGGAGCAAATGCGAAAAGGCCAAAGCAGATCCCCCACCCCCCAAAAAAAGAAAAAAAAAACGAAAAAAAAAAAACCTTTTAGCTGAGGTGGGGTCCGTTCGCCATCGCCTCCGCCTGTTTATTTCAGAGGGCGCCACCGACGCCGAAGCCTTTTGTTTATTTATTTATTTTACTTTTTTGTCTCCTCCTTTTCCTCTCCCCCTGCGCCCCCCCCCCGTTCCCCCTCCCCAGCCCTCGCATCTGCCTCCCCGGCCTCCCTCCCGCCGGCTCCAGGCAGGGCCTCCGGGTCACGCCGCCCCTTTCACCGCGGCCCCCGCCCCGCCCGCTCTCCCCGCGCCGCCATTGGCCGCCGCGGCGCCGTCCACCCCGCGCCCCCGCCCCGCGGCGGGCCCGCCGCCCCGCCCGCGTGCCTCCGAGCTCCCCTCTGCTCCCGCCGCCGCGGCGGAGAGGCGGCCGCCGGGCCTGCGAAGCCGCCCGCGCGGAGCCGGTGCGCTCGGCGCTGCGTTCCCGCCCCCGCCGGCCGCGGCGCCCCGAGTGCCCCGCGCCCATGGCGCGTGGCCAGGCCGGGAGGGGACAGCGCCCTCCCGCAGAGGCCACCGACTCCCCGCGGCCCCGAGCCACTGCCGACAGGCACCGGACAGCGGTGCCACCCCTGGCGGCTGGAGAACGTGGCTGACAGCGGGCCGCGGAGTGTCTTGACCGGTTGGCACTCACTCTCCCAGTCCCTCTTCTCCCCGTTTTGTGAACTTGCCCTGTGGTCTTGAAAACACAGGTGCTGGATGGTGGGCCTAGTGAAGCCAGACACGCCAGTGCCTCCCTCTCTGTGGACACTCACTCACCCAGACACCGGCCCCCTTCCTGGGCCGTGCCCCCCCCCCCCCCCCGCTGCTCCGCTCCCCCCGCTGCGCCCTGCTCTGGTTACGGCGGTAAACACTGGGCATCGGCGTTTGGAATTCGTTTAAAGAGTGTGTCGCCCTCGGGGTAGATGCCCAGAACCCCAGGCCGCTGCCAGGGTGGGGTGGGGCAGTGTGGGGGTGCCCGAGGCGCGAGGCCCAGCAAGGCTCAGGCTGGAGTTGGCACCCTCGGTGGCGGGGTTAGGCTCAGGGCCTCGGGAGAAGAAATCCCCAGGCTGGCGGGGCTTCTAGAAGATCTTTATATATAAACTCCTCCGGGAATGGGTAACTCCCCTTTACCCCGTGGTGGTGGTGGGGCCGCGAGGCTCCTCCCCTTGGGGTGTCCTCCGTGGCCTTCGGCCCCGGGGACCCTGGCCATCCCCCACCACCCCCACCTCCTCCAGCTCGGGCCCCAGGTTGCCCGCTGCAGACATCGCCTGTCCCGCCGGGGAAAGCTTGTGGTTCGGAGGGAACGACGGGCCCCGAGGCGGCGAAGGTGTGAATGCAAGGTCTTAAGAGTACTGGTTTTATTTTTACAGATTTCTCGGAGTGGAAATAAAATTCAAGTAAGAGGAAATCATCAACATGCATTTCAGATTTTCGTGTGGAATAAAATGAATCCTGCAAAAAACGCGGGAAGGCCCACTCCAGCTCGCTATGGCTAGCAGAACCTAGGGTGTCCAGTTCCGGCCCAGGCAGCCTCTCCGGGCCTTCGTGGGTCTCAAGGTCGCAGCTCCCCGCAGCCCCCGTCGTTGGGGGCGCTGTGCGCTCTCTCCCTCGGTCCCCATCCCCACTCCCACCGAGCGGGAGGAATGAGCAGGAGGCCAGGCCAGGCCGGAGCGTGGAGTCAGTCTGCAAGCCCAGGAGTTTTTTGCCTGGTAGAAACTGGAGATTCTCGCCTTTCCCTCCTCGGCGGAAATGCTCTTCTTTTCCACACACCCTCACCCTCTGCAGAAAGAGGGATGAGGGGAGGCAAATGCCGAACTGCTCCCCTACCCAGAGAGGGACCTGAGATGGAGACGGAGAGAAATGAGAAACACCTCCAGCCAGAAAAAGCTGCCCCTGCTACAATTAAAGTCCCAAAATCGCCCACGGCACAGCCTTGCGCACTTATTTGCTTTACTCATCAGTGTATATAGGGTGAGGGAGAGAACAACCGGAAAAGCTTGCTCCGAAAATATTGTGGGTTTTATTAGAGGTTCCCCGTGAGAATGGCAGTGTGGCATACCAAAACCTCACCTCCTTTCTTTCTTAGCAGACACCAGACTTCAAGTCGTCCTCCTCTCCCACTTCCTCTCCTCCTCCCCACTGCTCTGTCCCCCCTCTTCCTCGCACCATTCTCTCCTTTCGTTTTGATTCCTCTTTGGCACTTAGGGCGGGCGCGGCCCGGCTCTCTTTGGCGCAGGATTCCGCGGGCCTCGCGCGGCGGGGTGGTGGCGCGGACGCCTGAATTCCCGCCGGAGACCCCGCAGGCTGGGCCCTCCTGGCTATTCTTCCTCCGCTCCAGTTCTCCTCTCGCTGCAGGACACAGAGGAGCTGAGCCAAGTTCAAAGTCACGTCGCCGTCCCCTCTTAGAAGTGTTTTATTTCTCTGCAAACCGCAAAGCCCTTTCCTTCATGACATAGTAATTTTTCCCCCTTTTTTTTTCTTTTCCAGGCAGGAAAGAGAGAGTGCTCTCGCAAGAAAGCAAAAGCCGGGGGTGGGGGTAGGGGGCTGGGAGGTTGGGGGGTGGGACTGTGAAGGCTTTTCAGCCATTGCCTCCAAAGTAGATTTGGATTCCTTGGCCAAATGGGGAAAATGCGGCCAAGCTGCGTTCTGCACCGTGTGGGTGATTTTATTTTTTTTTTCAACAGGTCTCTGGAAGGACCCTCTGTGACGGAGTCAGATCCGCGGGACCCACAACTGTCTCCGTCGGATAAACAAGCCCCCCCCCTTTATTTATTTATTTTTGTAAGTTTTCCAAAATTGCTCTTTGAAGATCTCGCGGAGCCTGCGCCAAGCTGGCGAGAGAGTGGGGGGTTTGCTGTCTGTGGACGACCCCGCCTGGCGAGCCCCTGGGCGTCCAGGCTGGCTTACATGTCAGGGCAACTGGAGGGAATGGCAGTGCGACAGAGAGTTCCGGGTGTCTTAAAAAATCAGAAAATCCCATCCTGCACCCGGGCCTCATTCACTGAGCACCTCACTACCCGGGTGGGCCTCTGTGAATGGTTGACTGCGTTCTTTTGTAGCAGGATGAGTATTTTGGGTGTACACATACATAAAAACAATACCTATGTACACACAACGTACACAAAGGTACATTTTGCTGGCCAGCAGAAGCCAAAACAAAAACACCCCACAAACAAACCCATCAACAACAAACAAAACAACCAACCTTTAAACTGGAAAGCAGAAACACTTGGTGGCTAGATCATTCAAAGTTTTACCTTGTCTCCTAAGGAAAAGGATGTGTATAGGGAAAGAGATGGGAGGAACAAATGTAGAATCAGCTGTCTATATACAGCCAAGCCCCCCCTACCCCCCCCCCCCCACAATAGGATTTCAGCACCGTCCTCTGTATCACAGACTCATAAATTCAACAAGATCATCAACAGGATATTAAGTTGCAGGTCACCTTTGATTCAGCCCTCTCAGCCACTCCTGGGCTGGGCGACCCCTGACCCGTGAAGGACCACATGTGTGGTGAGGGATCCCCCCTCGGTAAAACCCACATAGAACAAAAGTTCTTTGTCAGAGTGTTAGGGAAGTGTCATATAAAAGAAAGGGAAATCGTGAAAATCTCAGCCAACGTTGTAACTTTTAAATGCCATTTTTTTTTTTTAGAAGGGAGAGGTTGAGTCGAGATGGGGAGGCGTCATAGGATAAGGCCCTCTCCTGTCTGCTAAAAGAACTT